TTGGAGCCTCTTTTGGGTGGATATCCTGCCTGGCTGGACCGGGAGCCCGGGTCCGCGTCCCAGCGACGGATACAAGAGCAGAGCAGACGCCTGAAGACCGAGAAACCCCGTTTCTGGCTGTTCCCATGGGGATCCGGGTGTATTTTTGGGCATACCAAGCCCTCGGACCCGAACCCGTTGCGCTCCGGCCTTGCTCCGCGCCGGATCGTGTTTCAGGGCCCCGAGCAAAATAGGCTGGGGCGGGCGTGGGCGTTCGCCGTCCTCGTGGGTGATTTTGGGTTCAAAACTCGCCGTCTCCCTCCTTCAGGAAACTTAATTCTCTCGGGATGAAACTCGGCGTTGGGTTTTCAGATTTTCAAGAAAATGATTATTTTATTCCTTTTTCTGAGATTTTTACCTCGGAAAATTAACTCCTGAAGGTTTTTGTGGTGGTGGTGGTGGGTTTTGGGGCTTTTTTTACCCCCTCCCCAAAAGTGGGAGAGCGGAAGAGGCCGGCGACCCAGGGGGTTGAGGAGAATCCGGCGTCGCCGTGACAGGGATGGCGATGACCGGCGCGGAAAGCAGGAATTCCCGCAGGAATTCCCAGCTTCCAGCTGCAGAACTGCCCGCCTCTGCGACTGGGAATTCCCAGTTCCTCCCGGCGTTACGAGCGGGATCCCTCGTTCGCGTGCCGGCTCAACGACGACGGACGCAGGGAAGGGCTCCTGTGGGAGAAGGGACGGGCGGTATTCCCGCTGGGACCCAGCTCCGGGTCCTCCAGGCGTTCACCTCCGCGGCCTTTTCGCTCCCTTGATGTCATCGTTAAATGGCTTTTTCCCTCCCACCCACACGTGGGACCCGGAATCCCCTTCCAGACGCCTTGGGACGGAATTGCCGTCCCTTTGCTTCCTCTCCCGCTGCCGGCTCTCCCCTCGTTGTGCCGGTCTCGTCTCCCTCTGTAATTGTCCCGGGAGCAATTAAAGCACCGGCTAAACCAAGTGCTGGGAACGTCGGCCAGGCAGCGCCCAAAATCCACCCGTTCCCCCCAAACCGTGAATATTCCACACGTATCCCAGCGAAACCCCGGCTCCATCCTCCCCCAGGACTCGCCTCGCCGGTTCCCTTCCAGCACAAGATATTCCGGGATTCCACCACCCAGCCAGGGGAACAAGCAGCCCAATCTTCTGTTTCCTCTGGAATTCCCTGGATTTCGGTTGTTTCTCCTCCTGGGTGGGGGAATCTCTCTCGGGGTGGGCAGATTTTGGCCTCGAGCATCCGCGGTGGCAAAGCAGCGCCAGCTTTCCGGCGGGTCATTGGGATCTGCGGCTCGGCAGACGCTCTCCCAAGGATTTTGGGAACAACAAAAACCTCGGGTTTTCCCATGCTCCTCTCCCGATCGCTCCTTATTTCTTGCAGCAACAAGACAAGACGTCCTCCAACCTCCACGAAGCCGCTTCCGACTGCGTGTGCTCAGCCCTCTACGCCATCGAGAACGTGGAGACCAACCTTCCCTTGGCCTTGCAGCTTTTCCAGGGCGTCCTGACCCTGGAGAGTGCCTACCACATGGCGGTGGCGCGCGAGGACCTGGACAAGTAAGTGAAGGCCGCGCCTGGAAATGAGGGAAGAGGCCCAGGAATGAGCTATCGCGCCCTGTCCGGGGTTGTTTTGGGAATCTCTTCCTCAAATAAGTCGATGCTGAAGGAAGAGACGAGGGAGCGAGCGACTTACGCGCCCTCGGAGCGCTCCGTGCTCCCGGCGCGTGCTTCGGCGGGGAAGCTCGCCGGGATGCTCCGTCTTCCCTTGCGCTCTGCCTCGCCACGAGGAATTAGCCTAAGGAGCAGCTGCCGGCATTAAAGCCGAGTTTTGGGAGCGACCTCTCCTGCTTCCCGCTCTCCCGGTGTCCGTACCTGGCCCGGCTATTCCCGAGGGACAGGGGGCTGGATGCGCTGCTGGGTCAACAGCCCCTCATTCTTGAGGAGCTGGATCGAGCGCGTCGCAGCCAGCGTTTCGCAGGGGTTGGCTGCTCCGGAACGTTGGGAACCCTCGGATCCACCCTCCAGGGATTCTAGGCTGGATGAGACCTCTCTTCCCAATGTTGTCTCAACCAGAGCAGCGGGCGCATCCTCCTGGATGCGTTTGTAGGTGGGAGGCAGCCAGCCCGGAGTGTGCGCAAATCCCGGCGGCATGGCTTGCCTTTCCCCGGGCAACCCCCAGCTTCCTTCCGCACAAGCGCCCGGGAGCTACGTGCGGCTCCGGGAGGGATCTGGCTCCCGTGGGTTGGTAAAGCACCTCTTGGCCTTTCTCCTCACCTCCCGGTGCCGGTCGTGCTCCGACTGATGACTCCATCCACACGCTGTCCACTCGGGACACCTTTTCCCGCTGAAATTCCAACGGGTTTCCTCCTCCTGCCCGGATCTTCCAACCCAAACCATTGCGTCCCAGCTTTCTCAGTAACGCTCACTCTTGGTTTCTCGTGTGCCTGTGGCTAACGAACCCGCAGCGGGTCGGTTGTGGGGTTGATCCGGAACCTCCCTGGCACCAAACCGCTGTTTCCTCTTCGGCACCGGCACCGTCCATCCCTCCCCTCAGCCGGGATTTGTCCCATTTATCCAACTTCTGCCCTGGACGGGAGCCGGAGGAGTGGGGGTGAAGCAGCTTGTGGGGGCAAAGCCTGGATAAGGCGGGGGCCTTTGGCTTAAGGAGGTTAGGATCATGGAATTATGGAATGGTTTTGGTTGGAA